ATATATATATATATATATATGTATATATATACATACATGGGTTTCCCTTATTTGTCAAAGCATCACCACTGCAAAATGAAATTATATTCATTTATTTGTTCTTTACAATCATGTGGGGATTATCATTGGCAGATACAAAAGAAGAACATTTCCGCTATATACGAGAAGACTTCTCAAGCAAATGGCTTCAGCCAGCTGAGGAATCATTTTGTACCATCCTTCTACATTACATCCAGTCAGAAGGGTTAAACATGGAGTTTGACGTATATATGGTATTTGATAGAATATACCGAACTTGCCTGGATGAAATTGGTCAGAATTTGACTTTGAAAGAATGTTATACCATATTCATGGTATTGAAAGAAAGGTATTGAACTTTTAAATATTTTATGACACATCCATTGGGTGTTTTCGACATACATGCAAAGACAATTTATCTTGAGGAGGACGATTGTGAGGAAGCATTTGAGGTATGTCGAAAGTGTACAATTATACCTTTTATTACTTGTTTCGCCTATTTTATATTTTTCAAGTTCTTATATAAATATCTTATTGCTAGACTGTGTAAATCTCGTTAATAATATTCTTTCAGATTTGGGCATTAGCCGAACATTATTGCAGCCTCAATCCGGAGCCTCTGTGGGAATCGTTGAAAATAATTTTTGAACCCCTACAACTTGACCCATATCCAGGTGAAATATTAGCGAGACATGAACGTAACACTCGCAAATTGAACCAAGTTGTTAATGAGTACTGGGCCGAAGAACGACGTATGACAGGGGGAAGGAAAAGGAGAGGAAATTGATTGGCGTCGCGTACTTTTGAATTTGTGTGAATTGTTGCGTTCTTTATATATTTCGAAGTATTTAAAAGAATTGTCTTTTCTTTTTTAAAGGTGTTTAGAAGGTGGTTCTATCAAAAAATGTACGGTCTGTATTATGTGCCATATTCGAAGTATTTAAAAGAATTGTCTTTTCTTTTTTAAAGGTTTGTAGAAGGTGGCACTATCAAAAAATGTACGGTCTGTATTATCCCTAACATAATTATTTGTTATTTCTTCAAACGACGTCTCTACTAAAGATCAAACGACATATCTTCCGAAGTCACACGTGACCTTGCGCGGCCCACGTAAACGGTTGTTTTTCTTTCAAAAAAAAAATTATTTAGATAATATTCAATATATATAGCAAATGATTTGAAATAAAAATTAATAAAATATACTTTAATTACTTTTCTGTCCAACAAAAATATTTTTGTTTTTATTGTATAATGTGTATTAGTAAATGCATTTTTTATGCTAAAATAATTGTGTGTTTTTTACTTATTAATGTATTATAAATTCATTTTGTAAAATGATATCATATGAAAAAAAAAAAGTACACAACTCATTTTTCTACTGTTGGCTTACGTGAACTCAAGCTTCTCTAAATAAATGCTCGAAATTCCGAAATAATCGATATTTGACCCGCATGACATCGTGTCTAAAAGATCTATGCGTCCCAAGTCGATTCACGGTAAACCGAAGTCACACGTAACCTTACGGGTCTCACGTAAACGGCTTTTTTTTTTCATTTATTTTACATATATAATATTCATATATATAGCAAACTATTTGAAAGAAAAATAAATAAACTATATTTTTATTATTTTTATCTAGACAGAATTTTTTTTATTTTTCTATAATGTGTATTAGTAAAAGTATTTTTCATGGTAAATAATTTGTGTAATGTATTTGTCATGCTAATAATAATGTATTTGTCATGCTAAAAATTATGGTACATAATATTTAAAAAAATGCATTACACGTAATATCATGCTACATATAATATTTTAAAAAATGGCTTACACATAATATTTAAACAACATTTTTAATTGTCAGTAGTCTACTTTATTGAACGTAATAGCCGTTGGCAAACTAGTATTGAACGTACAAATTTTTATAAACAACATTTTTAATTGTCTTTTGTATTATATTATTATAATAAAATTCATAAATAAATTTGACAGTCATAACAACTATAAGCAAAAGTAAAAATAAAAGTAACATAAAAATAAAAGATATGTTCAATAATAACAATTATCAAATAAAATTATGCCTAAACACATCACGTATGATCTTTTAATATATATGGTACTTTTAATTCCATGTAAACATTTTTTATGTGGACAACAACATAGGGAATCAGCCAAATACTACCAGCCAAATACTATCAAATACAACAACATTACCAGTTATAAGTGAACATAGGGAATTAATGTCAAACATAAACACAAACATAGATTAATGGAACAACATATCAGTTCAAAGTCAACATAGCTTAACAACAAACACAAATTACAACAACTTTTTAACCTCAAAACGAACACAAACATAGGGAATTAAAGTGAAGCACCATGTAGACCCTTCAACCATGCTAGTTAGCTCCACAAACGCCTCTGCACCCCAATTTTGCATCAATACTTTCCCATGGCCTTCAACTATTTGTAATTCAAAAAAACCCTCCGCAAAGTCCAAAATGACTCGACTTACGTCGGTCGGCTCGGGTAACACGTATGTTCGCCAAAAATTAATTGGAATAGGTTGCAATAGCGGGCATTT